TTGAATATTTGGTTTTCACCTTTGTACTGAACAGTGATGCTGTCCTCCACAAACTAAAATATTCCATTCAGTGTAGTACTCAATTATACCTTCAACAAGCTTACCTCAGTGCATTTGTGAGAGGCTAGCGCCCAGAGTTTATTAAGCTCAGCATGACTGGTGAGTGTGAAGTTCTTGATATTGTGTCCACAACGTTGAATAAGGGCAATCAAGATTTCTGTCATCTCTGTATTCAACATGGCCAGCTCGCAGAATTCTGCGACTTCAAAATCCAGTCTGGTTTGGAAAGGCTTCCATGGTGCTTCATCTCTAGGGATTACACGTTCCTGAGATACATTGGCAGCCAAATAGTCAGGGAAAGATTGGAAGATTGTTGGACATTGACTGTGGGGATGAAATACACGCTTTATCTCTGGTGTTGGAGATTCAGAATCTTCATCTTCTTCATCTGCCCTGTTATCTCTGAATCTGGAGCTGGGATCAACAGAATCAAAATGCTCGAGAGAATCTGATGCTGAACAATTCCAAATTAATAATGATTGTTGAATGAATCAGATGAAATCAGTGTTTACATGAATGGATGCTATCTCTAACAGGTATCCGAACACTCTGTGCCCGCGACGATGATGCAATAGCATTTCCTGTTAATGTATCAATATAAATTGATAATAAAAAGAACTGAATGAGAGGATTACTTCTTGCTTTAGGTTGGGTAAGTTGAGCATAGGCAGCATCATCTAATAAATACCACAAATTAGCATTGCACCAGAGGGGCCAACAAAACTCTCATACGTCTTTGTGCTTTCAATTTTGCCGCAAATGCACGATCAGCTTCTGCATTTTCTGCCTTTGCTTTGCATGATGCTTCATGACGAGCAATTCCCTGTAGCTTGAAGCTCTTGCCACAGGTTTGACATGGTTTAGTTTCTTGGGATGGAGGCATAGTAGAGAGTAGAGAGCACGATTGGAGCACGACACAAGCACGAGGCACAGACGGGGTATGGGTGGTATTTTTAAATTTGGTGCGTCCCGGTCCGGCAACCGCAGTGACAGTCATTGACGTCATGTCAGCCACCACCATCGCCCGCCTCCTCCTCTTTCTGCCCGATGCCCTGGCCGCCTATGACGCCCCCAGCCCGTCCTGGACCGCCTTGCCCGGTCCACCATACACCACGTCTCTATCCTCGTGCGCCGCGCGCCCCCCCTGAATCCACGCCACCTTTTAATAATTTAAATTAAATATTAATAATGCTGCGAATTTAAAGGAGCCGCGCAAACTCCTTGCCGAATCCCCGACATGTCCCCCACGTGCACCCCGCGCTGCTGGCCGTACCCCTGGTGCCCATGCGCAAGCCTGCCCGCGCACAACAATGGTATTTTGGGTGCGGGTCCCGGTCCGGCAACCGCGGTGACGGTAACCGTCACCATGACATCACACATTGTGTCACCTGGCCCGGCCAATTAAACACCCCACAAGCACCCGCCTCCTCCTCTCTCTGCCCGACGCCCTGGCCGCCTTTAGTGACGGCCCCCCCAGCCCGTCCAGGGCCGCCTTGTCTGCTCCGCCGTACGCCACGTGGCTATCCTTGCCACATGCCTTGGAACCCTGTCAGCTGCCACGTCAAAGCGCCCAGGCTCACCCTCTGCAGGCGTCGTCACCAAACACGCCAAGGCACCTTCGCCGGAAAACCAGAGCCAGATCGCCATCTCGTCCGCCGACGGGGACCGCAGCAAGGGCCTCGTGTGCACCGTGCAGGCACCAGCGGGCTCGAGGCGCCCATCGACGGGCCAGAACATCGCCGTGTGTGCTCGACGGACCGCGGTGTGTCGCTCTGGCGCACGTACGCGCCGAACACGAACTACAGGCTGCTCACGGGCTCGCGAAGGCGCCCATCACGGACCTGCAGTGGTCGCTAGTATGCTCTCCGACACTATACACTGTGTCCGCAAACGCGAGCCTGACGGCGACGGATGTGAGGATGGGGCAATGCGTGCGCCGCGTGCGGGCTGCGCACCGCGGCGTGATCAATGCGCTCGGCCGCACGATGGGTGGCGGGAGCGGCGCGGAGCTCGTGGCGACCGCCGCGGACAACAACACGGTGCGCGTGTGTGACATGTCTGAAGATGGGGGCAAGCTGCCCATTGCGGAGTGGGACGTCGGGTGCCCCGTGACGGCGGCGTGCTGGAGCAAAGATGGCGCGAGCATGTACGCCGCTGCGCTGGATAACGAGATCCACGTCATCCCTTCTTCTTCTTTTCTTTCTTTCTTTGCTCACCCCACCCCCAAGGTGTATGACCTCCGCTCCTCCGCAGCCCTGCATACCCTTGGCGGGCACACCGACACGCCCACCTCGCTCGCGCTCTTGCCCATGTAGTCCAGGATGGTGGCCCACCGGCGTGGAACACGTGGCGCCCACAGCCGCTGCCGTTGCCCACACGGAGGACCCGGCACCGACCGAGGGCCTGCTGCGCTGACACCTCGCGGTGTTGCCCCGGCGTCGCACTCGACGCGCACGCTCGGAGACTACCACCTCGTCCGCCTCCAATGGGAACTCCGCGTCCTGTGCACGCCAGTGACCAGACAATTCGTCTCCATGGCTGTCACATACGTCCCGATCGGCCGCATCGAGCACAATTGCGTCGACCGTGCGATCGGGACGTGTACTCTGAATCCCCGGACAGGTCCAGGCAACTGGCGTGGATCGGTGACATGGCACATTGACACGTACACTAGTTCATGCTTGAGACAGAGCGAGCCGCGTGGACAGAGTGTGTAACTCAGGAATTTTGACCACGCGTACTTATGTTGCGCGCGCGGTTTTGGTAATCTCGTTAAATTTTTCATTGACCTCGTCATTGACACAAGGTGTCCGCACTCGCGGACAGCCCTAACTTGATTCAGATGGTGTCCAAACCACCAGTCGCAAACGCGGAAAGTATGTATACTCACTCATTGTTTCATAGTTCTCACAAGCTTCCGGGCTTGAACGCCACGCATGCTGCATGCCTTGACTCTTGGTAAAATGCTACATTGACAGCTGCACTGCATATTATATACTGTCAATGTCACAACATGCAAGCCATGCCCTCGACGGGAGCACGCTGCATTGACAGCTGTGCTGCATGTTTTATTGCAGGGTAATATATTAATATTATATCTTTATCAATTCATTTGTAAACGGTGAATCCTGAGTGGCTGAATTCAATCGATTCACCACCAACCTGGAGATATTTAAACTAGTGTTGCGTCTGGTCTGCTTGCATCCATCACAATGTCTACTACTTCGAGCAATGAATCTTACCGCGACAATGCAGACAGCGACATTGATCAAGAGCACTTGCGACCGCTGAGCATCAATGCTACAAAGGAGGAGGTTCTCAAGGTCAGTTACTATTCCCACGTCTGTCCCGCCAGATCTGATATGGGTGGCAGGCCCTAGAGCACTGTCAACTTGCTCTCGGACGTGTCCTCGCCGAGAATCGGAGCCTTCGCCAAACCAATAGCGACTTGCTTGCTGCTGCTTCCTCCAAACGACATCGACTCGTGCAGGGGACAACAAGCTTGGATACAAGAGCCAAATTGGTACCTTGGCAAAGCGGTTTTTCTTCACCCAAGAAGCATGGGTTCAAACTACAGATTTCCGAAAAGATAGACCAGAGCCCCCCTTGAATCCTGAGCACCGATTCACAAATGACAATGTCTATTCACAAAGCGTGACCACAGCACTATTCGACAACATTCCTCCCAAGTACTATCCACTTTTGGATTACAATTCGTACAAACACTTTGCGGCAGATGTGAGTGTCCTGTTGATTCTCAAATCTGACTCTAACTGTGGTTAGTTCATCACTGAGTTTGGAAATGCACGTGCAAGTGTCATCAACTCTATCCGAAGAGTTATGCCCATCATTCTTGCCTCTGCTGGGTACTCGGTCGAGAGTAATCTGCTTGTTGCTGCTGCAAGTGATCGAAGCCAAGATAAAGTCCTCATCTCTCTCCTACGCTTCCCACAAGACAAAACACCTTGTCTCTTTCCCCCTGTCATATTCCCTAATGGGTCCAAGAACATGAACTGTATCTTTCTGAGCCGCATAGTGCTTGATGTAAGTGGTCATTCTACACTGTACACTATCGTCTTATATTTCATCTACTGCAGGTCCATCGGGCTATGTGTCATGGTCCATCGAGTCTTGGAGACAATGCCAAGCCTGATCCCAAAGCCAATGCGACAAAATATGGCATATTTGAAGCCACAGATCATTCAATTGCATTTGCTGCCATTGTGGTAGGTCCATCTATACTGCTGGCTTGACTCCACAAAACCGATAAAATGCAGGCCCGATTTGTTCTATCCCCTGACAAAACATGGGCATCTACCGGCACAATCTCAAATATCAAATGGGAGTACAACTACCGAATCTATAGAAAACTTCTAGCATCCAACCGTGATTCCCCAGTTGGGAGGAATATCTTCAAGACATTTAATCGGCATGTCTTCGCTGGGGTGCCACTGCCAATGGCAAACATGGAGGCTGACTCAGATGGGGATCGAGATGTCGAGGATGAGATCAGTGCTGCCATGCACCGTCTTGCATTCGGAACTTTGGATGACGCTGATGCTCAACCCGACAACAGTGTAATGGATGGGGCTATTAACAATCTTGGGATAGATGAACATGTGGAAGCACATTTTGCTCCCACTCCTCCTGTGCTCACTGGTGTCCTGGACCGAGCAGCCACTGCGGGCTCCAGCCACACTCCACCCTATATTCCTTCTGCCACTAATTCAAATGTTCACCCCAACCAGCAAGAATTAGTAGAGATCGAAGGTCCGAGACGCAGTGGTCGGCGGGCTGGACAAGGGTCCAAGAGAAAAGGGACAAGTTGATCCAATGTATGGTCATTGCCGAATGTTTTTGTTTGCGTTATGCAATATGCACTTTGTTGTCTTGGCTATCGTGTTGTTAGATGAATCAACATCCCAACGCTTACTCACAAAGCTTGCCTGGTGCAGTGGTTAATGTGTACAAAATATTTATGAACCTTGTTTAATTAGGTCTTGGGTTCGAATCCCGAGCCGGCCGTGAATCTTAAAATTGGCAATGTCGTCGCCATGACTTGATAAGTTAAGTCAATTGAATAGTTTTTAATTTATCCCAAATTGATTTATTATCCTTTTCAACGTGTAATAAGCTCAGACCGTCCTTAAAATGAGTTTAGTCCCTTACAAGGCCTTACAATTTAAATTAATCTTACAATTTCTTGAGTTATTACAAGATAACTAGTTATTATAATGTCCTTGCAATGCGAACTTTCAAGTTACAATGTCCTTATAATGTCATGTGATATTTAAGCCTTATAAGCAATAATAATACCTTGAAACTGGGTTAAGGTTTTTCCGACATAGTTACGTCCGTAAACGGAATATCCGATCACCGAGTCCATCCGATCCAAACACGACCATATGCGCCTCTTTACAATGATTTCGAGTCCTGAAGCTGAAGCGCTGACGGCCTGAAGGCCTCGAGTCCGTGATTTGACCAAGAAACATCTCCCTATGGATCTCTTGGACCCCCTGGCCCCTTCAACAAGGGACCTGCTCGTGGAACTCCTCACGTCCAGCCTTCCGCGGACGACGCTTCAGGGCATTGCCAACTGCTGCAAGGTGGAGTTCGACTCATTCTCATCGGAAAACTCCAGACCACCGAACAAGCTGCTCAGAGCTGCCATGCAGTTCTTGGCGCATGACCGCACCGTTAAAGAGCACATCACTTTGACTCGTTGTTTGACTCGATGCAAACGTGTGTCTGCGACCCAGATGGCTCCCTGGTGGGTTCCAGACACAACCGCAGAGCCATGGGCGTGCACCCACCGGATATTGCAGTTCTCGATCCCTCGTTGACCCTGAGGGACCAGATGGGCTCGTATTGGAAGCCAGGACACCTCCACCAGCGAAGGAAACATATACTGCCATCTGATCAGCCTTGGCCAAGCAGCCTTTCCAATATTTTCCCATCCGTAGAAGCCTGTTCTAGCACCCTTCGAAACTTGCTGCTATGGACTGAGATCGCCGCAGCGTTTCGCGGAACAGGGATACTTTCGTTCGTGTCACAATTATCGGATTTCTCGCAAGAGTTTGCAATGGAGGTGGTCCGTCGCCAAAAGTCATGCCGTGTGTAACCAATCACCTGGAGCATGCAATCGACCACGAAAAAGCGGAAATACCTCGCGAAACAGCTCACTTAGCCGTCTCCCTATGTTCCGACTTTTTGTCCAGTATTGACAACCACCTTTTCACACTTCTACTCCTCAGTTCAAAGAGCCGCTAACCACTATCGCTATGCGTGTGCAGTCCATCCTGGATGAAATGTCCCCCGGTTCCAACCAGGAACTGCATAAAAAATGGTGGACCTGTATCGGCAATGTCACGTTTGAAGGGATGGCACCCACCCCAGCGTTGGTTTGAACGCCAATACTCCAGCAAGTTTTGACGAGGTCCCCAAGACTGCTCAAAGCCACGGGCTTTACCAAAAAGTGCAAGGATTGCGGGCACGCAATCGGTGTGGTAGCCGGGTAAGTTTGCTTCGCGGCAACCATGCGCTTGCCAGAGACGATGTTCTGTAAGCGATGCGGGATATTTGTTAGCTCAATACTTCTCTTATCGCGCATTTGTCGGTGTCGACGGCAAGCATGGAATACCGGTGTGGCCCCACACAAAGGGTTGTGTAACCGGATCAGGCTCTTGCGGAAAACTCTGGGATTCGAAGACGACCTGCACTGGAAAGAAATGTTGCAGGCGTCAGGGCCTCCGGAGGACCCGGACAGGCTTGCACGCCAATTTGAAGGAATATGTGTGCCTCCAAGGGTGTCAGCAGTGCCCATCACAGAGGATATAGCCACTTTGCTGCGCTGATGGTAGACTGGGGAAGCGGACGCCTTGAGATATGAGACATGTAAGATTCAGACCATTGCTATATTTCTTTGTCGATAACCTTGAATAGCGCCAGGTGGATCTTACTGGGTAGGGAAGTCTGGGGGGTCGCCTGGCAAGGTTTTCAGCTAACAAAAGCTGAAATCCCGCGGCATACGGCGGTGGGGCACCAGCTCAGGCATGATATGTACAGTATCAATTAGCTGAGATGATATATATATGAATTTTGGGCAGTTGAACAGTCGAATTGCGCACATCATCCCCTGTGGGTCATCATTCCGTGTGGAGAAGGAAATATTGTGAGCCCAGCTTCCTGACCCAGGGACGTGCAGATGACCGATAGTGGACCAACTAGTACAGGCTGGATCTCACATAGCACGGTGGAGGCAAGCTTGATTACAAAAATCGAGAATACATTCAGCAAACGAAGCAAGATCATTAGATCTGCTGCTGGAGGTCTGTCCAGAGAAATTATCACGTATGTACAACATGGATAAATTCACCACGCATCATCCTCATCGACCCATCCGTCCCAGGGGTCATTATACCCGGATTCGAGCAGCTCCGACATGGCAAAGGTATCGAACGGTTCCAAATGCATAGTATTCTGAGATGCGCGTGAATAACCGCGCAGATGCCGGTACTTGAATGGACGGCTCACATTCAGCAGATGAACGACGGTGTAATATCTCAAAAGCTCGCGATGCCTTTGAAGACATGTCGTAAACTTTTTGGAAGGCACTGTACAGAAACTCCGACTTACTCGATCGGGGGAGGCTCGACAAAACGCCCGCCGTGCTCCAGTGACGCATCATTGAGCCAAGCAACGTAGCGTCGGAATACCGCTTCAAGTGAAAACGGTAAAACAGTCGGTGCACGTGCAACAACCAAAATACCTTCTCCGAGCCACAGCTGAAGCCAGTATGGACCGGCATTGCGCTCCTCTTCCCGCATCTGTTTCTCTGTGGGCAGACGGGCTGTGCCTTCCCATACCTTCGCCAGCCCGTATGACTGATATCGGCCAAGGGTCCAGGGACGGACTGGAATCGAGTTAGAGTTTTACTGGAGCAAGTCAGTGTGGCGCCTATTGACCATTAGTGTAGGCCAGTGTTGGATCTGGAATATAATGTCCCGTCCAGTGTACATCCGTAGGCCGTCCCCTCATTCTAATTCCCAACATATTTGAAGGTTGAGTGCCGAGCAGAATATAACACCCACGAGTTCGGAGGAAACAAAGCAGAACGTAGGTATCCTGTTGCGAGTATGACCTGGGGTCCACCACGAGATTAGACGTTAAAGCGGAGCGCAAAATAGGAAGGCACTTCGTCGATGCCACGTAGAACTGAACCATTCACGAGATGGATCTCTCCATCTCGGATCCCGTGGTCATGCCTGTGGAGAGGTTCAAAGGAGAGAATTTCAGGTACAAACTCAGTATTTTTCGGGAACCGAGAAAGGCTGCGCTGCCGCCTCCCTGTGCGGTCTTTGGCAGGCTAAATAGTCGAGGGCTGAGAAAGGGTTATAATATGGAGCGTCTCGAGGCTTACACGGATGCTTGCAATAGTTCGCTGGGTGAAGAGACTGAGGTCGCGGGCGATCTCAGAGGCGGAGACGGAAGCACCAACGATTAACACCGTCTTTCAACCTATCGTTACTATATCCCCAGTTCAACTGACTCGAGGTCGTACCTTGTTTGCATACCGTTCCGGATGGCGGTACGACTGACAGTGACGCATGCTGAACTGATCCCCGTCCTTTGCCTTGCTCCAATCGACGATCCCGTGGATGTCGGGAACGTGTGGCGCAACGTACGGTCCCGTGGCGAGAACCACCGCATCGAACGTTTCCGTCCACCATTCGGCCAGGATCCTCTTCGACTCGGGCAAGCGCTCCATGCGACGAAGTGTGAGTATCGAAGTATGCGTCTCAGCATCCTTCTCCACCTTCTCGACACGAGTGGAGTACGCGGTCACAGGGAGCCCGGATGGCGCGGCCTGCTTGTCGTTTGAGTTGAGCCCGTGGTGAGACGCGTAAGAGCGGACGTGCCGCTGGATCGCGTGGTTAGAGAGCACCCAGGGCGTGTCCGAATCATATTTGACGTCCGGAAGTTCTGTGCTGACCTGGGATCATTGGAAGAAGTGAGACATTGGTTTAGCACAAGACATTTTGATGGCTCTCACTTTAGGGGAGTTGGTGTGGAGACTATCCCAGACCGGGCGGGGTTGCCAGTGTTCCTTCCATCTATCGTCAAGCGAGACCCCCTCATCGCCCTCATGGTAGTAACGTGTTGCCGGGAGCTGCGCTGGGAGCTGGGCCGTCTCTCCAACAGGCTTGTCGCTGAAGCTCTGTGAATAACAAAACAGGGAGAATAAGCGCAGAGCCTACGGATATGGCTCCCTGAGTGGCGTCTCGTCGCTGTACAGCCAGTTGCCACCAGGATCTGGCGCACGTTCAAACAGGCGGACAGTGAAGTTATGCGCAATAAGTTTGGCGCCAGCTTGAAGTCCAGCAGGTCCCGCCCCCACGACCGCAACACGCCGAATAGGGTGGTGGAAGGTGGTCCAGAGGGGTTCCGGCGCCTCGAAAACGGTTTGATATTCTGTGCTGGTGAGTGTTGCAGTAAATAGACAGACCAGAGTCAACGCCAGTAGAAAGGTCATGGCGGCTCGACGAGAAGTCTAGATAAGCACTGTTATATTTAGTCGATAGAAGCGTTAGCGTGTGCCACAGTGCCACAGCGCTGGCTGGCAAAACCAGGACTAGGGACATGACGAAGAGTCGTACGAATTCACGCAGTGAGTGCACAGGGGGACAGACTGAGCGGAGTGACTCATTAGGCTTTCGGTTGAGAGAGCCTAAGAACTTGAGATAAAATCCGATTCCCAGACAGACTGGATGTATGCCAACATATTTCTTGCTCTGCTTCGTGCCCTTCGGCTTTGAAAGAAAAACCCATAGCCATAGAATTCATGCCTGGGGAGAGCGGTTAACGTGTCGGTTCGCCTAGCTGACGCACGCCTCCCCACCAATGACTTTCCTTAAAAGGCATGTCCGATCAAATGTCCTCGGAAAACAGGTGAAGCGTGGGTTGACTGGGCTGCCGAAACATTCTGTTCATCGCTGCTTTGCTCTAGTGGTTGTGGGTATGGTGTA